GGCTGGGCCAAGGCAATAAAAGCAACATGACACGTTAATTTATGAAGTTCCTGCCCTGGCCCAGGCTCTGTGCTGGGTATTCTTTTAATAGGGGTGAGGAAATGAGGTCCAGAGATGACAAGCAGCATGCCCAAGGTCACAATTCATCTCTCTGCTCCTTCTGATCTGTTACCCCTTGCTGGTGAAAGTTCACCCTAAAAGGCATTAACTTTCCTGCACTGCCAGGTTGTTACCTGGCTCCTCCTGTGGGAGCGGTTGTAACTGCTACCTTGGTGGGCAGAGAAGGCTGGCAGTGTTAGGAGATGAAGTGAAGGCGCCAGGGGCTGGGCTCTTCTCTGATCAAACGTAGAATAGATTAGACAACGAACTCCATATACATCAGTATGGTTAAATTGTATTCAGAAATAGGCAGACACTAGGATCACTCACTGTTTTCTTACTCTCAAACTACGACCACACCTACAGCACTTCTGACACCAGATGTGTGGGGTTTCGCACCAAGTAACTCTGACATTAACTGCCTGGAGTTAGTGCAGGCCCCACAGGCGAGGGGCTCAGTCCCATGAGATTGGCCCCCGCTTCAGGCACCAATTAGAAGTAGTAGGTCCCCAGGTTACCCACCACTTCTGTCTGACTTGACTACAAATTGGAGATTCCCATGACTCCCTTCTCAGGTTTAATAATTTGCTAGAGTGGCTCGCAGAACACGAAAACAGTTTACTTACCATTGCTGATTTATTACAAAGAGTATTTTGAAGAGTACAGATGAACAGCCAGATGCAGGGATGTACAAGGCAAGGTCTGGAAGCATCCCACGTGTGGGAGCTGCTATTTCTGCGGAGTAGGGATGCACCGCCCTCCTGCACGTAGATGTGTCCAGCAACCTGGATGCTCTCCAAACCCCATGTTTTGGATTTTTATGGAGGTTTGATCACATAGTCATGATTCATTATTAATTCATTTTCCAGCTCCTCTTCCCTCTCTGGAGGATAGTGAGTGGGGATGAAAGTTCTAAGCTTCTAAATCATGCTTGGTCTGTCTGGTGACCAGCCCCCATCTAGGAGCCCAGCAATAGTCACCTCATTAGAACACCTGTCCTCCTACCGTCCAGGAAATTACAAGGGTTTTAGGAGTTCTGTGTTTGCAACTAGGCTCAAAGACCAAATAATAGCAGGCACTGGGGGCAGAGACTCATATATATATATCATTCCCAACTTGACAATATGAAAAACCCAGTGGAATACCCATGGGTCTGCTTCACAGACATCTGCCTAGTGGCCCATCCTGAAAGGGGACTCCCTGGCTCTGAACGTGGTGGCCGGCAAACTTTGTGCTTCAGCCACTGAGGAGGGCCTTGCAAGGAGCTGCCCACATCAGAGCTCTGCCTAGACCCTCCCGATGGAGGTGCCAGGAACTCTGGGGGTGCTCTGACCTGCTGCTTCTCGTGACCCTAGCTGGGTCATAGGTGGGGGGAAGCCACGAGGGCCACAACCATGGTCTCTCTGCCTGCCCAGCTGTCCGCCTCAGCGTATGGAGGAAGTCAAGGATTGAGAAAAGTTGTCCCAGAGTGAGCCGGTCAGGAAGGGAGATGCCAGGCGGCCCTTGGCCCTCAGGAGCTGGGTCGGCCCAGAGCAGGAAACAGAACGAGGAGGTGGTATTAGGAGTTCACTGTCTTTTTGACCTTCAAGACAAGCCAAGAACATATCCCAGAGCTGCTTTTAGCAAAGATGGCTTTCCACACCTTCTGAATGGCTTTTTATCTGAGTGGTGTCCAGTTAGCTCTCATGATAAAATCATTTCTTTTTTTAACTGAACATAACAGCTCTTCAGGTAGACTGCCGCTCGCATCTTGTAGATTTCCACACAGGTGAATGCACGCTCTACTTTTTTCCTTGGACTAGTTCCTTATTAAACAAACACATCTTTATTTTTTAAATTTTAATTTATATTTTTATCAAAGTGTAGTCCACATACAATGTTATATTTGTTTCAAGTATACAACATAGTGATTCGACATTTATATACCTTATGACGGGAAGCCACGATAAGTAATAAAGCACATCTTATTGCCCCTTTTCTATAAAGAGGTCACCGCCTTCATTCCATTTTCACCTCTACCTCCACCACCATCTCCATGCCACCTCCACCTCTACCAACTCCATCCCTTCCGCCATCACTATTTCCACCACCTCCACCTCCTTCACCTACACCTCACCAACAAGGGAATTTGTCCTACATCTCAGGAACACTCAGTCTTCAAAGTAGCAGGTAATGAAAAGGAGGCAACCTGTGCAGAGGTACACAGACCATGGATTCAGAGCAGTAGTCCTTTCCCTCCTCTTTGTGAGCCTGTTCTTGGGGTTCTGGTCAGACACTGTGCTGGGGAGATATCCTGGCTTCCCCCTCTACCCAATCCTCCAGCACTGATGCTGATGGCCCATGTAACACAAGGGTCTGGCAGTGCAGTAGTGATGGGAGCCCACCTTGCTCTTCAGCTGGTTGGCATGGTATGGATGCTGTCTGATCTGAGTGATCAGCTCCTGTGTGGTGTGTATCGTAAGTATTGTGCATAACACCAGTTCTGACCCAAGTTAACTGTGACTCACTCCATGTTACTTATTAATGGGTCTGACGGCATTTCAGTCATGATAAAGCTTTTGAGTCATTGTTCCATGGTTTCTGGAGGACTAAAATAACTGGGTAATTGGATCAAAGTTCTTAACTAAAAATAGTGAGTACATGTTAAAAGGATGGAATTTGGGGACCGGCAAATGATATCCAAGCACAAGAAAAGATTTTCAACGATTACCAACTAGATAACTGAAATCAAATTTGATCTTTGAGGTTCTCTGAGCTATTTTCATATACAGTCTTGTACGTTGTTTGCCTCCAATATGAATATGCTCCTTTCCAAACCACACACAGTCCCTCTGCATATAAAATTACACTTGGGTAAAAAAAGTCAGTTGCTAACCAAGGGATATCTGATTTGATAAGACCACTTGGAGAAATGCTCTGGAGGATCTTAGATGGCCAGTCTGAGCCTGTAGGATGAGGACCAACAAAGAAAATAAGGTCGTGTTTCGTCATTGTGAGGAAGTTCCTTAAAGAGTCTGCTTTGGAAAGAGGTGGTGCTTCTGAGAACAACTATGAATTCCCACTGTTCACATTAGAGCATAGTGAAGTCTGCAACGCCATGATTTGCTGTGGACAAATAGCCTGCTAATAGCTGTCTGGTGGGAATATAAACTGTTATAATACATTTAGAGAGCAATTTGGTAACATCTAATAGAGATGAAATGTGCATGCCCCAAAACCCAACTCATATCATGTCAAGGTTGTTTATTACAGAAGAGTTTGTAAAACTTACAAACTGGGAAGTGTTCATGGCAGGGATGGTTATAGAAATTGTAGTGTCTTCCCACACTGGAATTCTGTATTGCAGTTACCATGGATGAACTAGATAATGGGACCATATGGAAAAACACTTCTAATACAAAATTGAATGAATAAAGGAGGGTTGGAAGGATATTATAGTATGACATCACTTAGATACAGTTTAAAACATCCAAGACAATGAGATGTGTTGTTTACAGACATATATGTGTGTGTGTGTGTGTGTGTGTGTGTGTGTGTGTGTGTGTGACAAGAACTTAAAAGATGACTAGATTGCGCCACTTTGTGAGGATGGTGATTCCTTTGTGGAGACAAAGAACTGCCGGCGGATTCATGTAGATCGTCAATGCCTCTGTAATCATTTACTTTCTTTAAAAAATGATCTGAAACAAACAGAAAATTGTTAACCTTTGTTCATTCTCAGCGGTGGGCACATGGGTATTTGTTATATTACCAACAGTACTTTTCCGTGTGTTTGAGATCTTTCATAATAAAAATAATAGATGTAAAAGGGAAAAGGATGGCATGGAGTCCGGCACGTGTGGAAGTGTTTAAACGGAGGCCGTGTGAGCATCCACTGGAGGCAGTGAACAAATGCTTTCTGCACAAGGGTTGTTGAGGAGTTGCCCCAATGTCCTGGAACTTAGACAAAAAAATTCAGCCTTTGCCTTGACTCTCACGACTTGCGGGATATTGCGAATGGAGAAGTTGTTCCTGTCTCTCTGAGCCATTGTTTCCTCATCTATGAAATAGAGTGCTATGAGCTGTGTGCGTGGATGCAGCTGGGGAGCATGGAGTCATGCACAGTGAGCATTATGACCTGGGCTGGCCAGAGGCATCCCTTGGGGACCTTCAGTGATAGGCAGGTTGTCAAATTGAGTAATCCTTAAACAAGTGTGTAGGGTAGAGTGTTTAAATAACTTTTAAAAATGATGTTCCTTTCTCTTCAAGGGTTGCAAAATCTCCTCTGTATATATAAAAAAAAGTGTGCCCTAATTTCATCACTCAGAGTTCAGAAATAAATTCGACAAAGGTTTTAAGACAATTAAATGGGGAAGAATAATGTTTTCAACAATCGGTGCTGGGACAACTGGATATCTACAGGCAAAAAAAAAAAAAAAATGAAGTTAGATACCTGCCTCACACATAAATAAAAATTAATGTGTCAGAGACATACCTGTAAGAGCTAAAACTATAAAACTCTTGGAAGAAAAGATAGGTTTAAATCTTTATGATATTGGGTTTAGTTTCTTAGATATGACACATAAAGTATGAGCAATCAAAGAAAAGGTAGATAAATTGGACTTCCTTAAAATTTGTGTTGCCAAAGACACTATAAAGGAAGTAAAAAGACAATTCACAGATATTTTTAAATTATATACTCTATAAGGAAATTTCATCTAGAATATATAAAGAATTCTTACAATTCCATAATAAGAAGATAACCCAACTAAATAATAGGCAAAAGATTTGAATATATATTTCTTCAAAGAAGAGACACAATCATCAATAAACATGTGAAAAGATGATCAACATCATATGTCATTAAGGAAATGTAAATCGAGCTATCCTTTCTACTGTAGGCCCAAGTGGCTGCTTTCGAAATGGGCAAGTATATGAAACCCGGGAAGGTGGTATCAGTCCTGGCCAGACGCTACTCCAGACACAAAGTAGTCATTGTGAAGAACATTGATGACGGCACCTCAGACTGCCCCTACTGCCATGCTCCGGTGGCTGGAATTGACTGCTATCCCCACAAGCCGCCCCTACAGCCATGCTCTGGTGGCTGGAATTGAATCCCCGCAAGGTGACGGCTGCCATGGGCAAGAAGAAAATTGCCAAGAGGTCAAAGATCAAGTCTTTCGTGAAAGTTTATAACTACAATCACCTCATGCCCACAAGGTATTCTGTGGATATCCTCTTGGACAAAACTGTTGTTAACAAGGATGTCTTCAGAGACCCTGCTCTGAAATGCAAGGCCTGACAGGAAGCCAAGGTCAAGTTTGAGGAGAGGTTCAAGACTGACAAGAACAAATGGTTCTTCCAGAAGCTGCGATTTTAGATCTTTTTTGTTTCAGTCATTAAAAGTCCAACAAAATAAAAAAAATAAATTAAAAAAAAAAGAAAATGGAAATTGAAACTACAGTGAGGGACCACTTATACCCACTAGGATGGCTACAATCAAAAACATAGAGAATAATAAGTGTTGGTGAGGATGTGGAGAAATTGGAGCCCTCAGACATTGCTGGTGGGGATTTAAAATGATGCAGTTTCTTCGGAAAACAGTTAGGCAGTTCCTTAAAAAGTAAATTATGTAGAGTTGCCATATGATTCAGCAATTCCATTCCTAAGTATAATCCCAAGCGAATTGAAAACATATGTTCACACAAAAACTTATACATGGATGTTCATAGCAACACTATTCATAACAGTCAGAACATTGGAACAAGTCAAGTAGATATTAGTTGATGAATGGATAAATAAGCTGTGGTAAATCCATACAATGGAATATTATTCAGTCATAAAAAAGAATAAAGTACAGATACATACTACAACATGGGTAAAAAAATTCTGGTAAGTGAAAGAAGCCACACACAAAAGACCATATATTTTACGATTTCTTTTATAGTCAATGACCAGAATGGGCAATGTAAAGAGGGAGAGTAAATTAGTGGTTGCCAGGGCCTGTGAGGGGAAATGGGGAGTGACTGCTAATGGTTATAGGTTTTTGGTGAGGGGCGATGGAAACGTTCCAGAATTAGATAGTGGTGATAGTTGCACAACCTTGTAAATATAGTTAAAATAATTATAAAGTGCGATCGTACACTCTAAAAAGGTAAATTTTATGGTAAGTGAATTATATGTCGATTTTTAAAAAGAAGAATTAAAAAAAGCAAATCTGCTTGAGAATGGGGTTGACAGAGAGGAATCAAGGATGGAAGAGGGAGGGAGAGAGGCCAGATTCTGCGATACTGCTCAGGCCCTACACCCAGTTGTGCCAGAAGTGAGACCACCTTGGAATGTTTCGGGTATGCGAGCCAAAAAATTCTCTGCTTCCTAGGTCAGGGTGAATCAGGTTTTCTGTTCTTACCCCCAAAGGAACCCCAGTTGGCACATATGCCCTCTGACCTTCTGGGGGCCAGTCCCCTCAGGCGGCACCTTCCACCCCCCTTTCTCTACCTCTGCCTCTACCTCTATTGGCTTCTGGTTCCTGCCTCTTTCACTTAAAAAAGGATTCTCTTCTGACTCCACTTCATGCCTTTTTCTCTTCCTTTTTTCACTCTAATCTCCCGAAGAAGAGTGGTCCACGCTTGCTGTTCTAATTCCTCGTTATTTCTTTCCCTCTTAACCTTCTACTCCCGGGTCCCGTTCCTACACTCTCTGGGCACTCTACTGCCCTCCTGTGGCCAACCCTGAGCACATCCTGGCCATCAAGGTCCTGGTCCTCCCTTCCTCCCCCTGCGAGGGCTCTGAGCTTCCTGGTAGCCCTCTGACCTCAGCCCCTCAGCTTTTTGGTGGCCCCTGCTTTATCTCCTCATCCCTGGACAGTTGTGCCACCCCAGACCTTGGGCCGGGCCATTGCTCGGATTCTGCCCCCTTTCCCTGGGCTGCTGCCTCCATGTTCCGCTCCTCACAACTGGACCCCTTCCTGTGCGTCAGACTCGTCCTCCTCTGACGCTCCTTCTCCTCGTGTAGTCACTTAGTTATGTCATGCCATGCCCCCTCTTAAGGACGCCTGGTGTCCTCGCTCTCTCTGCATCCTATCACTATTGCCTCCTAGGCCAGTCAGCTCACAGGCCACTTTGCCTCTAGTGTTTTCCTTTCCAGTTCTATCCCTTGCTGTGCTCAGGTTTAAAACACAAATCTGGGTGTGTCACTTCCTGCTCAAACCCACATGGGATCAAGTCTAATCCTTTGTTCTGGCAGAGAACCTGGGCCACCGGGCACTAGCTCCTACCTGCTTCTCGGATGCTTTTCTTGTCATCTCTGCTTACACTTAAGCTCCTCCAATCCAGAAGTGTAGGTTAGTTGCCACAAGGATCACACTGTCCCATGTCTCCCTGCACGTGGTGCCCTCCTACCCCCGAGCCCCCTCCCATGACATTTCTACCCTTCCTTTAAGATTAGGCCAGGTGCCACCTTCTCAGGGATGCTTTTCTGGACACTCCGTTCCATGTCTACCCTTCTCCCACCCCTACTTAGGCCAGGTCACGAGCTCACTCTGGTTTCCATAGCTCGTTGGGCTGCTCTCTGTGAGACTATTTATAAAGCTGTTTAAATGTTTTTCACATCTGTGCATGCTGTGTGCTTCAGGGGAGCAAAGCTGTGTGTTCTTGGGGGCCTAACATAGTGCCTGGCACATACTAGTGGCTCGATCAATGTTTAATGAAAGTAAAGGGTGAATCATAATGGCTAATCTTTCCTGTCCATTCACTATGTGCCGAGCACCCTATAAGACCTTTTTGTATAATGTCATTTAAATTCCATAACAACCTTATGAAGTGGGTACGATTGTCCTCATTTTACAGATGAGGATACTGAGGCACAATGTGGCCAAGTAATTTGACCAAGGTTGTGGAGTTGGATGCAAGCCCGGCTCTCAGGGCTGGCCCATGCCCAGCACACCACACTGCCACTAAAGCTCTGCCCACACTCACCGCTAACTTCCCTCTATTTGGATTGCCGGCGCCTGGTCACCTCCTCCACACAGCTCAGAAATGGCCCAGATCAGGCCTACGTCCCCTCCACTTTTGCACTAGCTGTGCTCAACCCACTGGGAGCTCCCTGGCACAGCAGTGAATGAGTGCTTCACATGTGCCATTCATCGGGACGAAGCACATCACCCCCAGAGCTCATGCAGTTCTCAGCACAAGTTGTCTGGTAACCTCACAACGAGAGCTGGTGACATATGGGCCCATTGGACGTGAGCCATTGAGAAAAACCACCATTGATAGTCATGCCTTTGGACTTCTTTTTTTGTGGGGATTTGACAGTTTACTCAAAAGGAAAATAAAACATAAGTTTTAATAACTTTCACTTATTTGGTATAATTACAGTTCATATAATGCCACTGTTTATTTACTTCACCTTATTTGATCTTCTCTACTTTCCTATGAAGTGTTCAGGACAGGGTAGCCCCATTTTCTGGAAGAGACAATGGAATAGTTCTAAGCCTGCATTCTTTACTTGCTTGATGTAAGCATCTAAACACTATCTGGCCACCAAGCTGACTCACAGCAGAGCATCACTCACCTGGCAGGTGGCAGAAGAAGCATTTTACTTAATGGCTCGGCACAGTCTGGGGTTCTATCCCCATGCTGTGCAGCTGAGCAGCCCTGACCTCCCATGAGGGCTTCTTACTGTGCTCTTCTTATATTACCCAGGTAATGATATATATTACATTTTCTCTTTTAAGAACATACATATTGTTATGGGCTGAATTGTGTCCTACTCTCATTCATTTATTGAAGTTCTAACTCCTAATACCTCAGAATATAACTATACTTGGAAATAGAGTCTTTAAAGAGATGAAGGTAAAATGAGGCATAAGGTGGAACCCTATTCCAATAGGACTGGTGTCCTTATAAGAAGAGTGAGAGATACTAAGGTTGCACGTCCATGGAGGGAAGACCATGTAAAGACACAGCAAGTAGGTGGCCATCTAGAGAGAGGCCTTAAGGGGGAACCAACTCTGCTGACACCTAGATCTCAGACTTCAAGCCTCCAGAATGGTGATGAAATAAATTTCTGTTGTTAAGCCACAGTCTGTGGTATTTTGTTATGGTGGCCCTGGCAAATTAATACACACATACATTTTAAGCTTAATTCTGTGACCGTTTGGTTACGTCCACTTTTTCAATAGCTCTTATCTTGTCAACAATGTTAAGTTTCCCGAAACACTGGCCATTGAGGAATGGGCTCCATAATGCTCATTGAAATAACCCTTTGAGGAGGCTGTGCACCGTACAGCACACCGAGGAGATGGGAAGTCTGGACCGCCATGAGCATGTCTAGCTTGACCACTCACTCCTCGAGGAGTCTGAAGAAACAATCAGACTTTACTGTCTCAGTTTCTTCATCCACAAGATGAGCATGTTGAGATGTATGACTGAAGTTCCCTTCCTGATGAGAGAGGGTGGAAAACTTCCAGCTTCATGATGTGATGAGATCTCGTTTCAGGTGGGGAGGGTCCAAAGCCCCACCAGTCTTTTTCTACTGAAAGGATTAAATACAAAGGACCCTTTGGTTCCTTCGCAGGAATGGAGCTGGTGGCTCAACAAAGAGATGGCTCAAAGAGATCTAAAAGAGCATGGAACTGCCGGCTGACAGAAGAGGTGGCAGGAGTTTTACAAGGACTTCAGCGAGTACCTTTGAAACTTTCCGCTATTCAAGTCTGTTTAGAGCTTGCTTCTGAAGCCTGACATCTTTCAACTCTGGTATCTTAATTCTTCCCTCCTGCCTTGGCAGCTGAGCCCCGAGAAGCTTTGCAGGACAGCGGTACTTGTTAGTGAAGCCACAGGACAGGTGGCTCTTGGGACAGGAGCCTAGGAACATGCAGGGGTGGGGCTTGGACTGTTATGAGGTTCAAGAATGAGGAGAGCCAGAGGGAGTGGGGAGATGTGGACCCTCTGCAGACCTAGTTCCTGCAAGGGCCCTTCGATTTGGAGGAGAGAGCCAGGAAAGCACATGTTTGAGGCAAACACCGTGAAGAGAGACCCAAGGAGGGACGGAATTAGCCTTCTGTGGGTGTTTGAGTGAGAACATGTCACTTTGTTCTGTGGCACTTTGTAAACTGTGAAGTAAGAGACTGTTACCCTGCACCTTTCAGGGATGACTTGTGAACTCGTGGCCAGCAGGAGCAGTAGCCAAGCACAGATAGGAAGGCCAGAAGCTGCTAAGGTCGATTAAGGCAGAGATCTTTGTCTCGAGGTACATGTGGCCCTAGAAGGCCTATGGAGAGGCTCAATGGAGTCTATGAGCCTG